TTGACCTCAGAATGGAAATTAGGATACGTGTTACAGTAAGGAAAGAAAGATATGGATACAATAAAAATTGATAAAGATTAGATTCAAACAGGAGAGACCTCTTGATTAGGAAAGGCAATAATTTATCAAACAGTATGGCCATTCAACCTGCCAAGAAGGGAAACTCCCCAAAGTTAAGGTGGAGTCAGGGTGTTGTTTTTGTCTTTCCAGGAGAATAAGAACATCCAACTAAGGAATCTGAAGACCACTGAACCAATAAGACACCTGAAACGTAGGACGAATCATCCAGAGACATTGTCCCAAGAAAAAGAGTAAATTGACCTCATGGTATAGCACACTTCCAACAGGATAAAATCTCATAAAATTTCCCAAATGTGTGTTTCTACTGCTCTCTAAAGACGTATAAGACAAACGATCTTTTGTAGTCCCAATTCCTTAAAAAAATAAAGGTAGCTTTGGATTTGGAGCATGACTCCTTTCTTCTCTAAACTCAAGGACACAGCACACGTGTTAAAGGAAAATCCAAAATCTCTGTCTCATGTCAGAAAAGCCACATGATATGGGACAAAAGAAAGACCAACATAAGGGACTATTCTATTGTCACTAGTCTCATAATCTTTTGGTTTTATTTTGACTCTTTTAAACTTTTCTTGAGGTATAAATATTATACCAAAATGAATAAGAGATAGAGGATAGATAGACAGATAGATGACAGATAGATAGATAGATAGATAGATAGACAGATAGATGATAGATAGATAGATTCAGTCATGATGTTAATGTTCATAGAGAGTACTAACTAATTCTATAAATAAGTTTCATCTAGCTTCCTGTATTTAATTTTGAGCTTGGGTCTGCAACAGGTAATTAGGAAACAAGTTTGTGTAGCCCATATGTATTTAATAGCTTGTGGTCCCTTAATCTCTCAAATTATCTGTTACATTTGACACTTAAAATGTTTAAGTTTTCTTCAGTGAATGGTATCCATTCCTAACAGTGACCTTTGAAGTCTTCAAAAGGAAGTTGGGGCCCCACAACTATGAAGTTATCTGGATTGTGATAACACCACTAAGCTGACAAACACCACCCACAGATCAACTTTGGACTACAAACTGCTCAGGAAAACTTCAAAACAATTAACTAAGATGGTCCAGCATCATAGACTACTCAAGTCAGAACTTCAGATAAGCCTTGCACTCTCCCTTCACACCAAGCCTGAACAACCACTAGTGCTCCCAGAACGTGATCTTTTATGTCAAATTTTTCAGGGTTCCCTAAAGGTGCTGTTGTGATATCCACATCCCCAAGAGATAGGTTGGATGGTTTTTGGTCATTCAGTGGAGTTTGTCATCATTTAAGGGTGTTGGTTACAAGTTGTTATTGGTCATGACAAAGAACAAGCATACTACTTGGCCCAGAATTGTTTGCTTATTTGTTTTTTTAGTTTTCTAAATTGACCTTATACGTGAAACATTGGATAAGTCTATCTGATATCCAAACCTATGTTCTGTATTCAGTTTTCCTGACATTTTTCTAGGTTATGAATTCATTCTTCTGTCATATAATGAAATAATTTTGTATTTTTATGCCTCATTTGTATGTACTTAGACACATCTCATATAGTCTTCATTAATCATTTTTAATCTTTAAAAAGATAAAAATTGATATAAAACTTATACTGATATTAGGTTTTTAGATGTAAGTGGTCCTTATGCACATCTTATTATAGCAATATACATATTTGCACCTGTTCTGCAAACCTGAATTGTGTTTGAATGGTGCTTAAATCAATAGAATTTTCTAGAATTCATAAAGTTACATACTTCTGAGAAGTATTTGATAAGCACAAATTTACCCATATTAGCATCCTTATCATTAGATTCACCCACACCACTGAAGTCTCTATTGTCTTTTTAATTTTTTATTATTTTTAATTACTTATATTTACATATCCATCACCCCATTCCCTCACCCTTCCCTCCTCCCATGTTCCCCACCCAACCCACCCCAACCCACCCCCTGACTCCTCCTCAGGGATAGTGAGGCCCTCTATCAAGGACCTTCAAAGTCTGTCATATTGATTGGTGGACAGTCTAGACCCTCCTTGCTGTATCTGGGCTGCAACAGTATCCCTCCATAGGGAATGGGCTCCCAAATTCTGCTTGTGCTCTAGGGATAAAGACTGGCTCCTCTATTAGAGGAACCATAGACTGTCTTGGGCTCCTAGCTGGTAGCCACATTCAGAGAGTTTGGTTTGGTCCAATGCTGTTTCCCCAGCTTTACGAGTAGGGTCTCCATTCTATCAGTAGGTCAGGTCTACTGTTTCTGCAGGTCTTTCCATCCCCATTTTGGCTCTTTTGCTCAGCCCTCCTCCCTCTGCACAACTAAATTCCAGTAGTATGGTTCGGTGCTTAGTTATGGGTGTCTGTTTCTGCTTTTAATGGCAACTGGATGAAGACTCACCTTCCTCTCCCTGCCCTCAAGCTCCAATTTGGCCAGGGGTTCTTGTCTTGTCTTCTTTGAGAGACTATGCAATCTTCTCTTGGGATACTCCTTGTTTTCTAGTTCCTCTGGCAGTGTGGAATGTAGGCTAGTGATCCTTTGCTCTATGTCTAAAAATAAAAAATGAGTGAGTACATACCATGTATATCTTTTTGTGATTGGGTTACCTCACTGAGAATGGTTTCTTCTAGTTCTATCCATTTGCCTGAAAAATTCAAGATTCCATTGTTTTTTTTCCCTCTGAGTAGTACTCCATTGTGTAGATATACCACATTTTCTCTATCCATTCTTCAGTTGAGGGGTATCTAGGTTGTTTCCAGGTTCTGCTATTACAAACAATGCTGCTATGAACATGGTTGAACATATGTCCTTATTGCATGAGTGTGCATTCTTTGGGTATATGCCCGAGAGAGGGATTGCTAGATCTTGAGGTAGACTGATTCCCATTTTACTGAGAAACCACCATACTGATTTCCAAAGTGGTTGTACAAGTTTGCACTTCCTCCAACAATTCAGGAGAGTTCCTCTTTCTCTACATCCTCTCCAGGATAGATCGTCATTAGTGTCATCGATTTTAGCCATTCTGACAGGAGTAAGATGGTATCTCAGAGTAGTTTTGATTTGCATTTCCCTGATGCCTAAGGATGTTGAACATTTTCTCAGGTGTCTTTCAGCCATTTTGGATTCCTTTGTTGAGAATTCTATTTTGTCTGCACTCCAACTCTTAATTGCATTGTTTGGTGTTTTTCTGGCTAGCTTCTTGAGTTCATTGTATATTTTGGTGATCAGCCCTCTGTCAGATGTGGGGTTGGTGAATATCTTTTCCCATTCTGTGGGCTACTTGAAGTCCTAGCTAGAGCAATAAGACAACAAAAGGAGATCAAGGAGATACAAATTGGAAAGGAAGAAGTCAAACTTTCACTATTTGCAGATGATATGATAGTTTACATAAATGACCCAAAAAAACTCTACCAGGGAACTACTACAGCTGATAAACACCTTCAGCAAAGTTTCAGGATACAAGATTAACTCAAAAAAAAAAATCAGTAGCCCTACTATATACAGAAGATAAATGTGCTGAGAGAGAAATCAGAGAAACATCACCCTTTACAATAGCAACTAACAAAATAAAATATATTGGGGTAACACTAACCAAAAATGAGAAAGACCTGTATAGTAAGAACTTTGAGTCTTTAAAGAAAGAAATTAAAGAATATAGCAAAAAATGGAAAGATCTCCCAAGCTCTTGGATAGGTAGAATCAACATAGTAAAAATGGCAATCTTGCCAAAAGCAATCTACAGATTCAATGCAATTCCCATCAAAATCCCAGCACAATTCTTCACAGACCTTGAAAGAACAGTACTCAACTTCATCTGGAAAAACAAAAAACCCAGGATAGCCAAAACAACCCTGTAAAATAGAGAAACTTCCGGAGGCATCACCATCCCTGACTGTAAGCTCTATTATAGAGCCATAGTCCTGAAAACAGCTTGGTATTGGCACAAAAATAGAAGGTGGACCAATGGAATCGAATTGGAAACCCTTATATTAACCCACACACCTATGAACACCTGATTTTTTACAAAGAAGCCAAAGTTATACAATGGACAAAAAGAAAGCATCTTCAACAAATGGTGCTGGCATAACTGGATTTGGACATGTAGAAGATTGCAAATTGATCCATATCTATCTCCATGCACTAAACTTAAGTCCAAATGGATCAAAGACCTCAACATAAATCCAGCCACACTGAACCTCCTAGAAGAGAAGGTAGGTGGCACCCTTGAACAAATTGGTACTTTTGAACATAACACCAGTAGCTCAGACATTGAGATCGACAATTAATAAATGGGACCTCCTGAAACTGAGAAGCTTCTGTAAAGCAAAGGACACAGCAAGAAATCTCTATTTCCTTCAGGTGCTGTCACATCTTGGACTTAAACCCCCATCCTGCAGTCTTTTTCATTCCTCCAGATTTCATGGAACATACCTCTCACCTCCTGTGATATTTTGAAACAGAAAGACTCTAAAAAGAGAAGGGTTGAAGACAGAACACTATGCACAGTTATATTACATACTAAGTAGTCCCTTTGTACTTACAGAGGCTTCATACCCAGGACTGTCCAAGGACTTCTGAAACACCTGCTGTAGCTAAACTACCAAAACAAATACTGTTTCCACCTGTGGTTAGATGATATCAGCTAACCTTGATTCCATTTCCTTGTGGCACAACTTGTGTTCCCCCTTTCCTACTCTCCCACAGGAGACTTTTTAAAAGATTCTGCTCTCTGTGGCAGACAGAGGCTTATCCTCACAGGCTTCATGGCTGCCTACCCACTCACAGAAAACGATGTTCTCTGTCTGCCTCTCTAATTCCTTGCCTGAAGGTTCATGACCTCTGAGTTCCATGAACCTGTTTCCTCTCTAAAACCTAGCTATTATGAATTGAATTTTCTCTACAATGTGGAAAAGGATACCTGAGATGTTTTAGGGACCTCAATTCTCTGTACATTTATACTTACACCTCAGCCACCACAGCATAGAAAGAGAAGCCCGCCTTAACTTACTGTTTCCCAGAATCAAGACACATGAGTGGCCCGAGGGAAAAGCTATTGCTGTACTCCGAAAAACCATCAAACTAAGATTTATTTGTTGAGAGTTAAGATTCCAAGACTGGAAAAGAAGTGACATGACAAAAACGGTATATAGTAGCAGGAAGGTCACCACACTTTGCAGGGACTTTATGTGGGCCGCAGTGCTGACATCTCGGAATCCTTTGGCATTGTGCCGAATGTTCTTCAGATGTCTCCACAGGGAGAAGATGAGCAGGAGGAAAGTAATCAAGGTCACAGTGAAGGGGATGAGTGTGAACAGAGCATTGGTAAGTAAAAAGAGCCCATAAATGCTTGAAGTGTTATTTGAACTAAACCAGTAAGATGTGTTTACTTTAGGTCTATCAGTGACTATATTTATGACTATAATGTTTATAAACAAGATTATTAGAGATACCATCAATGTCAATGATACCACTTTTGTTGCTTTCCATTTGAGGGCAAGAAAAATGGAGTTTGAGAAAATGGCTATCTTGAGAAAATAAAAGATGCTGAGGCACGTAGCAAGCCAGACGCTGAAATGATTGGTCACTGTCCAGGAAGTAGGATGCATTCTTCTCACTATCCTCATTTCCAATGAAGCTGGGTCCAGTAATGTCATCAACAAACTTGTCATTAATGAAAGCAAAAAAGCAGTTCTGGAGATGGCCAGAGCAGTGAGGATTTGATCCACAGCAGAGATCTTTCCTCTCTTCACCCAGTCCAGGAGGTTCACCAGTGCCATGAATGCATTTACTAAGCTTCCAATGATGAGTTCCACAATTACAATAGTTATCAGTGTGACCTGTAGGATAGCGTTTATTATCACTGCCATGGTGCTGATTTCTTCTGCACTACCATAGATGTGCTAATGCAGTCTTCTAGATTGCTGTGTCTGATTCTCAGCATTCTCACTTTCATGAACTCTCATAGTCAATGTCAACCAAGTACCAAAATTCACTAATGAGCTCACTTGTTTTCTCCATAAAGAAGCTTTTGTTGTTGAATACAGCCCAGCTGCACTTCATCCCGACGCTCTGTGCCTGAAGTGTACTCCACAGTTGCTGGTGAAGGAAGCCTTGCCTTCCTACAAGCTGCCATGAAAATAAAATTATATTTGTTTGTTTTGTTTTGCCTCATCTATATTATAGTCTAGATACAGTTTTATTGAACAACTGATATTACAGACATATAACTCAGTCAGAAAACAAAAATCTGAACTCACATATAAAATAAGGAGTTCACAGAATACATCAAAATGCTGTCTACAAAGGACCCTATTCATGTTTTCCAAAATTCTTCCTATATATTATCAGTTACCTAATAAATGACAGAAACCTTATTCCTTAAACACTTCCTACTGAAGGTATTAATGATTTTACTTTTTGTAAGGTTATATAAATATAATAAATATAAATATAATTAATAAATAAGCTTGTATTATTTCTATCCAAGTCTTTATTCCTAACCCAAACATTCATTTTCAACATTTATTGTGTATCTACTTCATGATAGATGCTGTGATAGCTGGTGAGACATTGTGTAAAATTACTTCCAAATATACTTGAGGCAGTAGTAATATAAATGTTTTTAAATCTGTGACTATTGTATCTATGAGAAAAAGAAATAGACATTTTCTACAGTGCCACAAAGTAGACAAAGATCAAATGATTTTGTCTCCGTAGAAAGAATATTCACAACTCTCTGTTTCCTTTTATTAGTGCATCTGATATCCCTACCGACACCAAAGAATTTCAGATATTATCCATTTCTTTCACTTTACATCAAGAGCTGTGCAACTAACCTAACTAAAGTATCGTGGTAGATGAAGGATGACCGCCTAGACTGTGCCTAGAAAATCTGGAGAATGGCTCGAGTCATCTTACCATTTCCCAAAATACAACTAAAAAAATCAAAGATAGCAGGAAAACATATAATAAACTTTCAGAAAGAGGTACATGATATACATGGATAAACATAGCCCAGCACTGAAGAGGCTAACATAGGAAGACAAGGCCAAAGCTAGTCTGAGCTGTGTGATGAGATATTGACTAACAACTGTAACATCAAAAAAAGAAAACACCTTATGCACATGGTAGAAAGATGTGGTATTCCAGGATGACCACAACCATAGTCTCCTGGAAAACAAAACAAACAAACAAAAAACCCTTCAAGAGAAGTAAGACATGCTGGGGAGGTAAATTAGTCCAGCTATTGAAACATTTTAAGAGAAATTGCTAAGAAAAGAAAATAATAGAAACATAATCTTACCATCAATGTGAAAGCAAGTAGGTCCTCCTACTATAACTCCTTCCATGTAGCAAAAATGAGAAAGACAGAGGAATGCAAAACACTCTTGGGGTGGAGTTGTGTGGAGTGGCTGTTGCTACTGGAACTTCAAGTTCATTTTAAAAGAGACAAAGTTTGTGTCTGTTGGGAGAGAGTGCCACCAACCCTGAATACTTCCCTGAGCCAACTCCTAACCCTGCACCTTTCGTTATATGTAGGAAACACTTGAGCTCTTACTGAGCAGTAGTTCCTAGGAAAGATGTTCTCTTCCGGAAACAGTGAGAGTGGCACCAAGAACAATTACCACATATTTCATTTAAAGAATAAAATCTCAGATGGGGGTTGTCTTTATGAATATCTTTGTAAATGATGTATTTATATATATTTACAAATTAATGCATTAATTCTGATTTTTATTTCATTATTGATACATTATATGGTGTTCTGCCAAATTCAAGCAGTTTTAAAGGATTTAACCAAACAAAATTCTATCACTGTATCTGTTTATATCATTATATTTAACATAGTAACCCAATAACAGTTCATCTTCAACATCTATATTTAAAAAGAATAAAACTACATCACATTCTGGATCACCATCACTACAATTTATATAAAAAGGACTCAAGTAAATAAATTACTGAAACTCTATTCTTTATAAATTTTATTTGTTACTGTATGAGTTTTTCTTTTATTTTTTCTTTTTATTTTTTCAGGTTATAATTATATCATTTTCCTGTATATTAAACACAGGATCTCACATATGCTAAACTCATGTTCTACATAACCTGACCTCTATCTACTCTTCTTAGTTTGATATTTTATAAAATAACCTGCTAATTCAATATTTTAGTGATACGATGATAATTATCACTGATGGCTACTAAGTAGAAAGTTTCCAAAGTAACAATAAATAAATTCAAATAAATAAAATTAGAGAAAGGGGGATGATAGTTTCCAGTAGAATCCAGATGATCATTAGTGAACACTTGATAGCTTATATTCCATAAACTAGAAAATCTTGGAGAAGTAGATGAAACCAAAGAAATATAAATGTACCAAAATTAAATCTGGAAGTTAAACACTATTTGACTACATTCATAACAAAAAATAAGACTGAAGATTGAATCAATTCTAACAACTTTCTGGCAAATAGAACCTCTACCAGATCAATTTACTACAGGGATGTCCCAAAATTTTCATACCTTGCTCCAACACTTCACAAGAAATGGCAGGGAGAGAACACTACAAAATTCATTCTATACAGCCAGGATTAGTCTAATGACAAAATCAGATAATCTATAACAACAAGAAGAGAAAATTGAAAACGAATTTCTCCAATGAACACATAATCAAAATTCTCAATAAATATTTCTCATAAACCTCATTTAAAATCATATCAGGAGACCATAGGTGTTGAGAGATCTGGAGTTTAAAATCAGCCATGGCTCTCTATTGCAGTAGAGGTCAGCCTGGCCTATGTATGAGACACCCTCAAAAGCAAACACAAAGAAAACCATATCCAGAAAGTTGTACACCACAACAAAATTGATTTCATGCTTAAGATATAAAGTTGTTTCAACTTTATAGGAAATAGGAAAATAGACAAATGTAATACAACATAGACTTAAGTATACAAATATCATGTCGATAGATGCATAAATGACATTTAAAATAGTTCATCTTCTCTTCCTAATGAAAGCCTTGAAGAGTTAGGAATAGAAGAAACACACTTCAGCATTAAAATAGGTACATAGAAAACTTCCTTCCATTACCATAGGGATTTCACAGATGCCTAGTTTTGTCCAACCATTTTTCCTGAATATGTGGAAGGAATACCATAATTATTTTATTATAATTTGATAGGAATTCAGAGTGGGAAATGAAAAAGAATTTTCACAATTTAAGATCCAAAAGGTTGTTTTGACAAAAGCTGAAGTATTTAAAGTCAGATCTGAACTTGAAAAAAACTACTTTAATTCAATAACTGATAAATATGACTTTTGGAGGTGCACATGGAAACTAATAGCAACACTGTATTCAGGAACCAATTATGTTCCAACCTTTCTCATCCTCATTGTAGACTTGAACAATTTTCAATCTTTTCAACTAGTAAACTTTCTTCTTTAATTATTCTTATCACGGTAATGCAATAAATTAATTTTGCCAGGGCTTGTCATTATTAAATTTTAGAGTCTGCACATTTTCATAATAGGGAATATTTTTTATTTATATTACACATGGAAAAAGAATGCATGGGGAAATAAAATCTACCTTAAACTCTCATCTTAGCAATCTGCAGTAGAACTAATTGTTCTTGACACCAAAATTGATTGGAGCCACAAAACATCTAAGTTCAAAGAATTTAAAATAGACTAAACATCAGCAAAATTCTGATTAGATAAGCTAGCACTGATACACAATAGAAAATACAATCATAAAACTTGAAGTGGAGCACATTATACAATATGTAGAAAATATACATGATTTTATAACCCTGAAAAATGCTCTACTAGATATTCTGTGATGTATTTCTTGTGCTGGGAAAAAATGTATGTTATTGTTATTTCCCTTGTTGTTTTTAAAGTACAAAAATATCACCACTCACAAACCTTCATATATATTTCAAAGTTTTATTTAATAAACTCATGCAAAATTAAAGGTCCTAAATCTTAAAATTTTCTTTTATTTTGGAAGTCAGAACTCAGAGCCATACACATGCTAGTCATTTGCTTTATGAAGGAGTTATATTCTCATTATCTCAAGTAAGTATAAAAATTGTGTGAGTCACAAAAAAGAGTAACACAGTTTGGATATTTTTATAATCAGAATCTAGAATCCATGGACTATTTACTAAACCATAAAGTAAGTGGAATTGAAATGATAAATCCATTCCTACTTGATTTTATAAAAATAAAACAGTAATCTTTTGGAAAAAATTGTGAGTATAAGATATGGATCAACTCAGGTTATCAGAAACTCAGAACAAAATAGTGGATGAATCTGCATTTCTCCTTGTTCTGGGATAGAATATTTTGTTAACTGTAAATATGTATTGCATTTATTTGTGTTGCATCATAATTGTTTAACTATGTAAAGATGTATTGCTTTTGCTTATGCTGCATTTGTTTAACTATATAAAGGTGTGTTGCTGTTTTACCTTGCCTGCCTAAAGCACTTCAGTGGTCTAACAAAAAGCTTAACAGCAATAGCTAGGCAGAGGAGGGAATGGGTGGGGTGGACAGGCAGAGAGAAAGAGAAGGAGATGCCACTGGCCAGCCTGGCAGACAGGGAGCAAGTAGGATATATGGAAATTAGAGAAAGGTAAAAAAAAGCAAAAGACAAAATGTAGTTAAAGAGAAACAGGTTAAAATTAGTTATAAGAGGTAGTGAAACAAATCTATTAGTATACTAGGGATAAATTCCCCATAGAGGGACATTCTCTCAGCCTAGACACATGAGGGAGGGTCTAGGCCCTGCTCCAAATGATATGGCAGACTTTGAAGATCCCCTGTGGAAGGCTTCACCCTCCCTGGGGAGCAGAAA